TCATTATTTTTCGTCATTATAATAAATATTATTTTTCTACTACAAATATTAAATCAAATATGTTCATCTAAATATCTTAAAATTTCTACTACAAATACTTTATTGAATTGTTTAATTTTTAATTCTATTAACGATAAAAATCTATTTATTTATTTTATTCATAGGAATTAATGAGAACAAATATACGAAAATTTTAAATTATTTTTTTAAAATAGGAATCAAATTTAAATTTTAAAATTTTAATTTAACAATAATACTCAAATATATGATTAACTTTGTGAAGCTAGAAAATAGAATTCGGTACTTAAATTTCAGTAAAAAGAGCCACATAAGCACTAGATGTAAAACTTATAACAGATACGATTGCCAAACCTGCAACATCGGGAAAAAACAATGCAAAGAAATAAGATAACTATAAAAACACTGGATTTTTAACAAATATATACACATAAAAGGTAAACATAAAATTTAAAATAAAAATAATGGAACAAAAAAATTTACATAAAACTTACCAAATATTCGAATTATTTCTTCTTTTGTTCGAACTTTTTTATATCCTTTTTCCCTTACTCTCTAGCCATGCAAGCTTTCTTCCTTTCTTTTTTAACTCTACCCTTATTCTCTCCCGAACTCCCAACACCACATATTTATAAACCCTATAATTCAAACTTATTTCTCCCTATTACTGGTACCGACGCATGCATGAATTTCCCGATCCCATGCGCATTCTTCACGCTGCTGCATGCACTTTGCACAGACGTAGAGATTCCCACACCATGCCATACAGGCAGCAGCTGTCCCACGCAGCAGAGATTCTTCACGTTCACAACCCCCCATGCATAGAGAAATCATGTTGAAGACGTAGAGAAATCCACAGGTCTTATCAACCCTATTTAGACTGAAGACGTCGAGAAATCACGTAGGATTCTACATGCAACATTTTGGCTTGAAGAAGCCAAGAGATCCTAAGGTCTTCAGGCAATTACTGTAGATTTCACCCCATTTGGGGAAATAATCAGCTAAGTGTATTATTTGGGGAATTAAACATCCCTAAATGAAATATTTCGACACTTTTGCTAATGAATAAGATATTTTGGTGCAAAAGTTTATATTTAAATCAGAGAACCAGGAAACTATTTTGGTTACTCATCAACCCGCTTAATCGACCCATAACAAGCCTTAACTTGAGCCATTAACATTTTCAACCTCAGATCAGTAACCCGAGCCAAAAACGACAACAACCTTCTCTCATATGGTAACAACAGTGATAGTGTTCCAACATCGTCGAGCTCTGATAGTGTTGAACGACCACTGTGCAAGTTTGTTCATGCACCGTGTCGTCACCTGTAACCAAACGACCAAGGAATAACATCCAGGCAGAAAGAAGCTACAAGAAATGAAATACAAAGGTCAATGGGGGTACGTATTTCGATTCCCGATGATTTCGATATTGGTTGGAAGATCTGTGCGACAAGAAGAGTGGTATGGTAGCGAGGATCAACATACTATAAACATGGCTCCATCGTACGGTTGTCGACAGCAAGCAAAAACCTTTTATTTACATAAAGCTAAACATTTTTCGATAGATCCACGACCATCCATGGAGTTTCTCGACGAACAGATAACAGATTCATGGAGAGAAGACCAAGGCACTTCGAACGGGGAAAAACTTTTGAGATAATGTTATGAAATAAATTAATTCACGAGCTAATGCACTCCCAAGATTAATTGCTCAAATAGGGTGAAATCCACAGTGTTAGCCGTAGGTCGCCAAGCACTCCGGGCGACCTTGTAGGTCGCCAAGCACTCCGGGCGACCTTGTAGGTCGCCATGCACTCCTGGCGACCTTGTAGGTCACCATACACTCCGGGCGACCTACCCTTGCTCAAACAGAGAGAATGAACGTGTTGCATGGCACATGCACGTCCCAACACATAGGTCGCCATGCCCTCCGGGCGACCTACCCTCGCTCGGCTTCCCTCGGATTCCCTCGCATAGCTTGCTCGGTTGCCCTCGGATGCCCTCGCATAGCTCGTTCGGATGGCCTCGGTCGGATGGCCTCAGATGCTCTCGGATGGCCTCGGTCGGATGGCCTCAGATGCCCAGCGTGTTGGGACGTGCATGGCACATGCAATCTCTTGTAGCTCGCCGGGAAGACATGGAGACCTAGTAGGTCGCCCGGAAGGCATGGCGACCTACGGCCAACACTGTGGATTTCACCTTATTTGAGCAATTAATCTTGGGAGTGCTTTATCTCGTGAATTAATTTTTTCCAAAACATTATCTCGAAAGTTTTGCCCTTCGAACGGTGTAACTTGGATTTTTGTTGGCAATCATCGATGATGGCTGACACGGTGGTCATCAGTGTTTGAATAATGGCTGATGAAGATTCTTTGTCTTCCTACAGAGCTTTCGGTTGGGGGAGAATTTAAAAGAAATAAAATAAATTGAGAAATAAAGAATTGTTCAGGAGCACGTGGTTTTGGAGATTGTTAATAAAGTGAGAATGGAACAATTACAAGGTAAATCATCCAAGTTTGGTAAAAGCTTAAGCTTGTTTTATAACTTTCATATTGTTATGATTATGCCATAATTGTTTTAAATTTTACTTCAAAGGTCACGTGGTTTTTGGAAATGGAGATGGTCAAATCACAGTTTCAATCCTCTATTTTCGGTAAGATTTTGATTTTTGTTATCCGATTTTAGTATTCAGCCTAGCTTTGATAGTTTAGATTATTTCATTTTAGCCCTGATTTTAGTAATTAAATATTATAGTAGCATCATCAGTTTCTAGTTTTACCAATTGGGTCCTCAAATTATTTTTTAGATTCTAATAAGTTATTTTTATGACGAGAGAAATTATGTTGGGGATAGAGTTCGTATATTTGATGGTCCGGGTACATGAGAGAAAAATTAGAAGCTCGACCCAATACCTCATGATCCATTTGTACACGTAAGATTTGATCAGTCGTATGGTTATATAACCCTTATAAATAATTCGTTTAAAATATTACTCGCGCAATAACTCTGTTATTATATAATTTAGGATTGTGCACTATTGTAAAGCGTAAAGAGATGAGTACTCAGTAGAACTCCTGATCCGACCCGTTTTGCGATGTGTGTTCCTTGTGTGCCAGCTGATCTGATTTAATTTCACATGATTTATCTGTTTCAAGCTTGATTTCTGATTTAATGAAGTTTTAAGCCTATTTGTCTGATTCGTGTTCTCTGGTTATTGTTTTTACTGAATTGATATCTGCTGGAACCCTGATTTCTTTGTTACTGTTTAAAAACTATTCTCTTTGGGGTACTCTGGAATCCGGTACGAAGTCTCTGCAGGTTCAACTCCGATCAAGCTGGTAATTCCTCATGAGGTTCAACACCGATCAAGCTAGTAATTTTTTATGGACCTAAGGCAGCCCTTGGGTGGGGTAATGGGCCTAGTGGTAAGATCTTATGGACCCTAAGGTACTCCTTTAGGGTAGCTCCTCTACTATGTGCATTGGGTAAGTCCTTATGGGCATGAGGGCACACCCCTCAGGTGGGCACCATCGCTTTGGCTAGGATAAAACCTTATGAACCCAAGGTGCTCCCTTAGGTTGGCACCTATGCCACTTGGGGTCTAGGGTAAGTCCTTATGAATGCAGTTCTGAGGAGTTGCATATGGCGTACGATTGGAGTGTTGTTTTGTATTTTAAACTACAACTATACTATCGTTTTCATAACTTTGATAATGAACATATTTTGAAACTTAACTGTATGTTTTTATTTTGTACTGCTGGAACACACTGAGTTCCCTAGTTCACTCCCCCAAACTTTTCTCTTTCAGATATTTTTTGATAGGCGACCCGGACCTGGCACTTGGAGGATCGACACATTCACATAATATTAATTTGTTGTAATGTTTTTATCTTTCGATTTGCCATTATGATTGGTGACATGTGCCTATTTATTTTGAAATACTTGTCTTGTGACGTATATTGCTTTTGCGACTAATGTTAGAATTACATCGATTCTGATTTATGAAAGATTTTGTTTTACTCAGACATTTATAGTTTTATATATTACTCGAATTAGAACTTATTATTAATAACTATGTTTTTAAAAGGTGTTTATTCATAATATGGATTTAAATTATTGAAAACTGTTTTGGAAAATTTTATCGTAATCTGCTAGATCTGGTCGTAACACCTAGGCCGGATCTAGGGGGTTACACACCAGATTATGACACGAGTCACTTAATGAAAAAATTAACGTTGTTGATAGCTTGAGCACCTAAAATGATAACGTTTGTAACGTTAGGCACCGAGATAAGTCAAACATAGTTTAGATCCCTATTCGAAAAAACAGGATAGTTTAAGTACTGATTTTGATAGTAAGCCTAAAATTTAATATCTATGTATAACTCTTAAAAGTTCAATACTTAAAAAAATATTTTAAACCAATTTAATAATCCATTTTAAACTTTACCCAACAAAAACTAAGAAAAGTAAATAAACAAAAGAATGCGATAGGGCCGCTCTGGCAATGGCAATGGCAATGGCAATAGCTTAATCAGATATTAATATAACCATATCCTTAAAATATAATTAAAATTTTCCAAAAAATTAATTGAAAATAAATTATGTGATACTTTTTTAGAGAATTGATTTTCATAAGAAATAGGAGAAAGAACTATAATTTTTATTCATTGGAACTTGAAGATGCAATTCTTTATGCCATTTTTTTTTGTTGGATTGATAATCCAAGTGACTCAACGAGGTTGTTCTCTATACTTGAGCAAATAATGGCATCAAATGCAATTTTTATAATATATCCGACTACTGCCATTTGGCAACTATTACCGAATGAAATGGATATAGGTACCCTTGCTGGTATCAACTCATACCTTATATCCGATAAAAAAAAATGTTGAAAAAGTCCATGGGTTCAATACCAGCCAAGGGAGTCCCATTTATACGTTTCAAGTGATCTTCCATAACCCCCAATTCAGAACAAACGTAAACTTTCAATTGACTTGTTCCATTGGACTTGCAGGAAGTTTAACTTAAGTTCCTTGGGAGATTTCTTGGTATGCATTCGAAGAATATCAACATACTCTCTTAGCTTTATATCAACTAATAGATAAGCCACATAAATTGTAAATTTCTTTCTGCATACAACTAATAAAAGAAACAAATAATTAAATATGAAAAGTTTTCAAGAGAATCCCGAGTACTTCCATGATTATCATTTTAATAGGTTGAACATACCATTGTTAGGAACTCCATTAGAAAAGTAGCACAAAACTGTACAACAAAACTGTACAAATACATAAGCACTCCGACTCTCAAGATTTTCTGTATTTCTCAATATATCCCTGCATAGAAAATTTTTAAAAAAATATCTCAGTTCTATAAATGAATTGCATCAAAAAAATAGAAATAGTAAATAAAAGTAAACTTTTGATTGAGAAAACAATATTCACGCTTCAAAAGATCTAAGTTTTGTATGGAGAGGAAAGTCGGGGTTGGTAGAAGTAACAGCAAATATCATCTAGATCACGCCTAGTATACACCACCCCTCAAATCAGAGACACTCACCTGAACAAGCCTTGCTATTTTTGGCTGGGATGAAGAAAGATACTGCTCAGTTGATTCGAAGGTAAATGGAATTTGATGAGACTGAATGGTGCCAATAACCTTGTCTGCAGCCTTTTTGACTATTCTATTATGAACATCTTTACTGAGATGTCCCTCGTGCCAAGTTGGTTTCAAAATTTCTTTAATTAAATCTACAAGAGCAGTGTGGAAATGCCTCGTTGCTTTAGACTCTCTGAGTGCATCACCATCTGCCTTATGCTCAATATCTGTTTCATTCTTTTCTCTATCTCTATCTACTTTTAGGTCTTTTTTGCATCCAAACCCATCCCTCTGATGTCTAGCATCACAACCAGTATCAAATTTTCTGGTCTTTGAAACGTCTTTGACATGAGAAGCAACTGAGGAAATCTCTTCTTTAGCCAGTAGTCCATTTTGCATATCAGCTGCAGAGGTCCCTTCATCAGTTGTTGAATGTTTCCCAGAAGTGTAGCAATTATTATTGACCAAATTTTCAAGGTGTCTAGCATGGGAAGATACAGTTCTTTTATCAACATTACATTCAGGGACCAATGGCCCGGCCGATTCAGAATCACCATATGTTGGTGGATATGCTAAATTCAGGAGGGATGGGTATTGACTACAAAATGAAAATTTAAGAGAACCCTTTCCTACATTAGACAAATCAATGCTATCACGAAAAGGATCATACTGGCGCCGTGGGGATGATGGGCCAAAAGTGACAAAAAAGGATGGTCGAAAGGGCACTGATGGTTCCCAATCTTCTGAAGAAAATTTTATTCTGTATTCAGCAAAGTGCAATGGATCGCTAGCAATATCACTGACAGGACAGTTTTCCAGTTCAAAATTAGAGAAGGGGGAAGAGCCTTGCAGCAAAGACAACGGGGAAGAATGGTGTTCTCTGTTATTGTCCAACATCTTTTGGGCACCAAGAGAACATGCACTTTGAGAAGAACATAAAGGTAATGATGCTAGCCATGTCCAGACACGAAATTTTTGTTCTTCTTTGTATGTATTGCCCAATGATGTAACCGAGCCACTTGATGAAGCTATATGCTTGGGAAGAAAACTATTTCTGAAAGTAGAACTACCTCTATCACTCAGCAAACAAGGTCTGACATAATTATCAGTAGGCAAATTCTGATCTGTACTATTTTTTCTTACATCCTTAGATGGTCCAAAATCATCTATAACTGCTAAAAACTGTTGAGAGCCAAGTGATGTGCCGATAGATTTATCCTTACTCTGGAGTAGCGGGGATAAAGCTGTCTTATTTCTAACTGATGAATGCAATCGATCAGAATGAGGTGACGGTGATCTTGATCTTTCAGCAGCATTTCCAATACCTGATGCAAAAGGTTCTTGTTAAGATATCACTGTAGAGAAGATTGGATCACCCTAAATACAGAAGAAAAAAAATTGTACCTTCATCAAGCTGAACAGCTGCTTTCTCATCTGCTACAGCTACATCTTCCTCAGGTTGTTGTCTAGGATTAATACCACTACCTTTGGTGTGAATATATTTACATGAACTTCCTTTAATACACCACCCTTTAACAAAGAAGTCACATATAAGCGCAGTGCGTTTGTTTTCACTATTAAACTCATTACCAGGGGAAAGACATCCGGGACTAGTTTGTGGAGAAGCAGATCTGTAAAACCTATTGATTAGTAAAATAATGGATAAATAATCTTAGGAAGGAAGAAATTTACTAGCAAAAAGGACATAATAAGAAGCTTGGTTTCACTTACAGAACACATAGATATCACCAACCTTAATTTTATACTCCACTTATCATCCTCTGTTTGCATGCACATTTGCTTATTATTTCGCTTCAAACCTAGATGAGTGCTAGCTCCTGCCCCTGACTGATATCTGACTGGGATTGAAATAACCTCATTGATAGCTACCTTTTTGCTATCAACACTTGACCGATTAGTGGTCTCATTCACAATCTCATTGACAACCAAGTGACTCTTGCTATTAGTATGCTGTCCATGGCATTTTTCAGGGGCTTTTCTTTCTAAAATGACTTGAGCCTCTTGTCTATTAACATCATATTCTTGAATTGCCTTTTCCTTTGCAGCGTTTTTGCCAGATATTGGATACTTGAAACCCTCATAGTTTCTGCGTAGATCCTCCCTTTGAGTTGCTAATGGCTCATCTGGAAGACTACAGAATATGAAACTAGCATTACTCTCTCCTACATAAAGGGTTTTAGAGGCTAATCTCATTTCAGACCTTCCAGGAGCTCTTAACGGATCTGATCCTGGGTGTCCATCATGCTCTTTGGACTTCATGTTATTACTAGCACCTACATGGAAGAAAAACGTAATCCAGATGACAAGAAATAACCACAATATCTGATCACACTATGAAATAGCATTTAACCAGATCCTATAAAAGTTGATTCTTTCCATTTCTTTTTCTTATAATCTGAAACCTAAAAGGAATTACCAAGCCGAAGTAAAGAGAGAATAAATTGGGAAACCTGCACTGCTGCCTTATAGCAGTACAGCAGGAACAAGTTAAAGACAGATCAATTCACCTAATGCTAACACAACAAAGCATCAAGCACCCAAGAAAGAGATGTGTCAGCAGTACTGCGTAGTAGTATCTTAAAGCTGAGGTTCTTGGGCTCAACTGAAAACCAATCTAGTTGTTGAATAAGAGCACACAAATCTATAAACCTTGCCACCCACATAGATAAATTATTTATTTAATTAATTTTCTCCTCTTAACACTACAATCTTCTAACGTCATTCAGGTCACAGCATAAAAATCATAACTTTAAAACATATTCAAATATTTAATCTCCTTCCAGAGAAATCAAATGTCATAAAGATGAAACAGTGTAATCACCATCATCATGCATAAATTATTAACGTTCAGAATTAGTTCAATGAAAAATTGATTGAACGATGGCTTATTTATAATAACCGTTTCGTTTGAAGGACACGTGCAATTCCTCTTTTCCTCCTTCCTCAACTTCGTCGCCGTCGATTTCCATATCGGAGCTTTTGACGTCCTTAACGGCGAGTGGAACAGCGGCGGGGGTTGAGAGATGCATTGCGGCCGTTTGCGGTATTTTTAACGGAGTCATTAAACGGAGGGGAAGGGTGTGGCGGAGCTGCGCACGTAAAAAATATATCTCTATTCATCTTCTGCCATCTGGATTGCCGATCATCACCGGATTAGGAATCTATTTCTTTCTTCTCCACGCGCTTCTCTTAGAGCGTGCTCCAAGGATTTGTAATTGGGCATCAGATACAATCTGGGCCATCATCTTGTATTCTGAAGAAAACGAATTTTGATGTGACTATATATTTAAAAGTAATTCTTATATATTTCCTTTTTTTTTCAATTAGGTCCCAATTTTATTATATAAAATTAAAAAAAATACTTATATTGGTATGAGCTTTTATCTCAAAATTTAGATAAAATTCAGATTAGATAAACCTTTATAAATTTAGATCTAATTTAAATAAAATATATATATTAGATATGAGCTTTTATCTCAAAATTTAGATATTTCTTAACGAAGCTTGGGTTTTATAGACAAGAGTAATCTGTTTTGCTTAGGGATAACAAATCTTAACGGCTTTCTGTATTCGAATCCATTCATGTAATTAAAATGAAGGTGAACAATGTTCGATTTCTTATATATTTTACTTTGTTCTACAAGTGTCATCTTTTACAATTATTGTTTCACCTTTTAAAATATCTATATTCTCCTTTCAACCTTTTTATTTATATAATAAAATATAGATCTATAACATTTCACGTCTTAGTCCCTAAACTTATCTCTCACATTGGCATTTGAACTTTTTATTTTTTCTTACATTACTACCTAAACATTTTTGTTGTACACATTGATACCTAAACTTGTCTATTTATAAATTATTGATGTTTTTTATAACAATAATTAAAGGATATGAGATAACAATATGAGATTGTACCATATCATTACTCAAGAATTCAAAAATTATAAAATATCGTAATTAAAAATATTAGAAATATGTAAAAAAATTATAAAATTACAAAAAGTTCTAGTAATTAAAATTATCACAAAAAATAGAGAAATTCAAGTATCGATGTAGACTAAAAAATGGATATTTGGGTGAAAAAGCAGACAAGTTCATATAAGGATGTGGACAACAAAAAAATTCAAGTACTGATATGGAAAAAGTGGATAAATTCAAGGACTTATTCTCGGAGAAATTGATCCAATAGGTATAGGTCAGTGGATTAAAAAATTTAGACAGTTATGCCATTTTTAAAATTATTTTAGAATCTACGGTAAATACTACAGTACATGAAAAATTCATCATGTTGATGTGATAAATTTTATTAAAATATAATTTTTATTAGCTTTTATCAAATCAAGGTATAAATTTTGAATAAAAATATTTTTTATTAAAACTCGTCATATCAACGTGACGAATTTCTTAAACTATAACATTTACCGTTATCCCCGATATATACAAAACGGAATTATCACAAAATTTGGGGGTTTTGAGTGAAATATGGGCTTTGGTCAAAACATAAATCATTTGTCGGGTTGTTGTTCGGCCCAATGGTGAATCAAACGTAATTTCGATTATTTATCTGGTATTTCATACTGGGGTCCAATCAGCAGTCTTTTTCTTATCCCTTAAGGAAATATATCCGGCCTAAGATTTTTCGCCTTTTTGACCGATGAACATTTTCAAAAGATTAGCCTTAAATCATATTTTCAATTGCCCAACAGTTTGCAACAAATTTCCCTTTGTGTAGCTATCACACAGGCTTCTCCACCATCTGATATAATTAGACAAAGGATCTCACTCAATTACGACAATTTCAATTGACAATGAGAGCTCCGAAGTTTGATCATTAAATAACCCAAACCAGTCTTAATCAAAAGGTTCCAAAACCCACCAACTACATTACCATGTAGCAATTATTTAATTTTACCTTGTCAAATACTGTGTTGCAAGGCTGGCCAAATCATTCCTTTGGAAGCCATAGGGAAGACGACAGGTAGCCCAAAAATCATGAGCAGTTGAGGAACATATTACTGATCTGATCTCACTTCCCATCCCCATCCAACTTTGACGGTGTTTTATTGTATAATCACCCGGCAAAGAATGCGTGTGCTTTTGTGATTTATGTTTAGAATTGATTATTATTATTTTTATTAGGAATAAACAAAATCAAATTACATTGAATCTCACATATTATATATATGATCTACTTCATATTAATCTCACTTTTATTTGCTTTTATTCTTCCAAATTCCTAACATACAGATTATATAATCTCCTACTATATGATCAGTGTTAAGAATAAAAACATGTGATTAAGGGAAGAAATTGCTCGAACATGTTATTTGCTCGACTTTGTTCTTTAATGTTCCTAGAGATAGTGCATAAATTACATAAAAAAGTTATATTATTGTATACTTTTAAATTTTAAAGATATAAATTGATTCTTTCGGGAGAAAATACTAAAAGTTTAAAAAGGAAATCATGGCGGTACAAGTGGAAATAAGGGTTTAACTGTTGGCTAGATGGGGCGAAGGGTTTAGGTCATCAGTCAGCTCAGTTTAGGGCAGTGAAGGGTAGGACACGAGGCGAAGAAAATTTCCACCAAGTCAGCTCAGTTTAGGGCAGTGAAGGGTAGGACACGAGGCGAAGAAAATTTCCACCAACTATATATCTCAATTCTCTTTTTACTTGTATCTTGGCTCTTAATAATTACATAGTACACAGATTACTATATATTTAAATATAAATGGTAAATTCAAAGAATGTTGTTATTCATAGAAATGTAAGTTTAAGTAATTATATTTACAAGATAGCCATGTTATTAATTAATTAAAAAAATTAAATAGATACCATCTTATAATTATCTTAGACTAATAAATAAAAATAATAGGATATGAAATTTAAAATTCATATATACAATTGATTTATGAATCAATTATTTATGGGATAAAAAATCAAGATTTTCGAGAACTTTTCCAGATTTTATAAAATAAACCTAAGGTTTTTAAATAATAATCATATCAGAGCTATGTATAAACACGTGGATATAAACCTAAAGTTTTTAATAGTCTTTCAATAGTTTGTTAAAAAGTAATCCATAAGAGGATGCCATGGCATAATATAATAAATAATTATATTCACCTAAAATATAATATATTTACTACTATTATATGATATATTCAAAAATAAAATGTGGGTGTATATGGTTATAAAGAGGTTGGACTTATGAAAGTACTTATGACGTTGGCCTATCTTTTTATTACCATTAAAGATAGTGAAAGACTATGACATATATAGCAAGCTATTTGGTGAGGATAATGATGATAATTGGCAAAGGAAAAGCCAAGGCTAAGGCTAGTCCACAAGGACCATTTGTCCAGTTGAACAACGACTGACCAAATGATGGATGATGAATGGGGCCTTCTGAAGTGGAGTAAACCACTACCGCATGCTTCTAATATATTCAAAATGATGTGAAAAAAATAAACTGGGAAAAAAACCATAATATTACACTATAAATGCATGCGGATAACATAAACAGAACAGAGATTTGGTTTACTTGGAGACCACAATACCTAGTTCCTCGCCTTCTGTTAAAAGTTTCAAAGTTTGACAACCAACTTTGGAAAATGTTTCTTTTTCAAAGTTTGGTAAATGTTTCTTTGAAAAATGTTTTTCAAAGTTTGGTAAAATTTTGGTAGATGTTTGTTGAAAATAGGAATGGGTAAATTCACTTTAGTCATTGCACTTTAGGGTATTTTCAAATATTAGTCCCTAAGTTTCTACTATAAATACCCTTACCCATTTAGCTTCAAAATCATCCCAAAACATTTCTTTCTTCCTATACTAGAGAGTTTTCTTGTGAGTAGTGAGTGTTTTGTAAACACCTGTAAATTTTCTCTCTTAGTAAAAGATCTGCAGCAGCCCGGAGACGTAAGCACAATTGGCTGAACTCCGTTATCAATTTTCGGGTATTATTTTTCCGCTTTTATTTTGCATTCTCACTAACCTGGTTATAGGGAAATTACTTGTACTCGGTTTATTTTCCTAACAACTGGTAATCAGAGCTTTTGGTTGTGAATTTTTTCAAATTTTCTGCGAGGTTACTATTGATTACTATTCACATGAATAGTGAATTTCGTGAATAGTGAAATTCGATCGGTGATACGAGTTTGTCGACGGTGGTGTTCTAATACACGGTGATTCGCAAGAATTGTCAGAAACGATCCAAACGAAGCCAGATTCGAGTGGGAGCGATGGCTGCAGACGAAGGGAAGGTGAAAATTGAAAAGTTCGATTGTGCGGACTTTGGTTTTTGGAAGATGCAGATTGAAGATTTTTTGTACCAGAAAAATCTATATCAACCTCTCTCAGGAAAGCAACCAGAGGGCATGAAGGATGAAGATTGGGCTCTCCTCGACAGACAAGCCCTCGGAGTTATCCGACTGACGTTATCCCGCAATGTTGCTTTTAACATAGCAAAGGAAAAGACCACGGCGGGTCTTATGGCGGCTCTCTCCAGTATGTACGAGAAGCCATCAGCCTCAAACAAAGTTCATTTGATGAGGCGATTATTCAATTTGCGGATGGCGGAAGGGGCATCGGTGGCACAACACCTAAATGAACTCAACACAATCACAACCCAGTTGAGTTCAGTGGAAATTGAGTTCGATGATGAAGTTCGAGCTTTAATTCTCTTATCATCTCTACCAGACAGTTGGAATGCTACTGTTACAGCAGTCAGCAGTTCGTCGGGAAACAGCAAATTAAAATTCGACGATGTTCGGGATCTGGTATTGAGTGAAGAAATTCGACGAAGAGAATCGGGTGAAGCATCAACCTCCTCAGCCTTGCACACCGAGTCTAGAGGGAGAACTTCAGAAAGAAATTCAAATCGTGGCAGATCAAAATCCAGAAGGGGCAAATCAAGAACAGGAAATAAAGATTTTACCTGTTATAATTGCGGCAAGAAGGGTCACTTCAAAAGAGATTGCCGAGCACTGAAGAAAGATACCGGTGCACAGGAATCTGCCAACGTAACAGAGGAGACAGGTGATGCCATGATTCTAAGCGTCAACAGTCCGA